GCTCTGTAGGGATTTCTGCATTTCACAGGAATCCAGGATTAAGCTCAGAGGAATTGGCTGCACTACACTGCACTGTGGACAATGAATAAAGAAGATTGTAGAAGAATTGATGCATTAGAGTTATGGTGTTGGAGGAGAATATTAAAAGTGCCATGGATTGTGGGGGAAGATAGAATCCCCACTAAATTGTTTGTATCTTGTCTAGACAAGTCTGGTGAAAAGAGATAGGGATAAGATTCTTAGGATTCAATAGTGAGTAATTGTTATTATGATTAATGGTGACTGTCACAATTGTAAAGGTAGAAGTTTTGTAACAAAAACAGGGGAGTGGTTAATCTTACAGTCCAGAAACAGGGGACTCTAGGACCATCAAGGGAGAAGAGCACAAGCAGAATGCGGAACCTTATCCAGAGAAGCAGAGACATCAGAGATGGAGGCAGAAATGGGGACGTGGAGAGGGGGAGCAGCTGAGGACTCTAGATTCATGGAAAGAGAGGGACTGAGAGTTGACAGCTAAGAGGCAGACTTGCAGAATGTGCCCTTTGGTGGTATAAACTGTTATATATGCTTATAATATTGTAATGAAACAAAGTATATGATTTGTTGAATGTAAAACTGATGATCTGCCCTGTAAACTTTCACTCAATTCACAATGAAAGCTTAAAAAAAAAAGGTAACATGGATTGTCAAAAGAACTAACAAATCTGTGTTGGAAGAAGTACATCCATAATGCTCCTTAGAATACGGGATGACCAGACTCGTCTCTCATACTTCAGACATGTTATCAGGAGGGACCAGTCCCTGGAGAAGGACATCATGCTTGGTAAAATGGAAGGTCAGCAAAAAAGAGAAAGACAACCCCACGACCCCCCAATGAAGTGGATTGGCACAGTGGCAGCAGCAATGGGTTCAAGTGTAGCAACACTTGTGAGGTTGGTACAGGATCGGGCAGCGTTTCATTCTGTTGTGCATAAGGTTGCTATGAGTCAGTACCAACTCAACAGCATCTAATAACAACAAAAACAACAACACTGCATTGAAAATGGGGTCCTATTGATGCTCTGGATTAGGTGTTGCATTACTAACTAGAAAGTTGATAGTTCAAACCCACTAGTAGCTCTGTGAGAGAAAGATGAGACTATCTGCTGGCATAAAGATTTACAGCTCAGAAACCCTATGCGGGGTCGTTATAAGGGGAATTGACTCAAAAGTAGTGGGGTTTTTGTTTTGTTTTATGTTTTAAGCTGCACTGAGCCCCTCATGCGGGAATTACAGCAGACCTGCTGGGTGCAGACTTTGTATATGGACTGTCTTAAGTTCAAATATCAACCCTGCTATTACTTCCGTTGTCTGACATTGGGTAAGGTTTTGTTCTGTTTTTAACTTATCTATACCTCCAACTTGAAGACACTTAACAACAACAACAAATGCCTCCTCTGGAGTCCTGGTGTGGTGCTGAAGGGTAAGGACTTGACTGCTAGCTGAAAGGTCAGTGGCTCAAATCTACCTACCAGTTGCTCCTCCGAAACCCTATACAGGGTTGATATGTGTAGGAATTGACTCAGTGACACTTAACAATAACTAATTCCTCCTCTAAGGTGCCTTGGTGGCACAATTGTTAAGTGCTTGGCTGCTAACTAAAAGGTCAGTGGTTCGAACCTATCCAGTGTCTTGATGGACAGAAAATACCTGGCCATCTGCTTCTTTGGTTGACAGCTTAGAACCCCACGGTATAATTCTATTGCATTTTACAGGGTCGCTATGAGTTGGAAATCAACTCAGCAGCAATGGGCTATGAGGCCTGGTGGTGTGGTGGTTGTACTGGCTGCTAATCAGAAGGCCTGTGTTTCAAACCCACCCAGTAGCTCATGGGAAAAAAAGCACGGTGAGCTATTCGCACAAAGATGACAGCTTAGGAAACACTCTCTCCTATAGGGTTGCTATGAGTAGAAATTGCCTTGACAGTACACAACATGCCTTATCTATTAAATGAGGACAGTTATGTTGTTGTGAAGTACCACTAAGTAGTTTCAAACTCATAGCAATCCTTTATGGGGTTTCTGAGGGTGTACATTTTTGTGGGAGCAGAAAGCTTCATCTTTCTTCAGAGGAGCACCGACCTTGTGGCTCGCATTCCACAGAGCCACTGAATAAGACGGTGAGAGTACACACCCCCAATGAGTGAGGGTTACATGAAATAATACACGAAAGGGTTTAATCACAGTGCCTGGTGCAAAGTAGGTGCTGATAGTAGCTGAATGAGCTACTATCATTGTTATTAATGATGAATTCAAATCTATGAGCTTTTAAGAGCCTACAATCAACCAGAAAATTTATTAGAGGCTGGGAAATGAGGAGAAAGAGCTAAAATTATGTAAGGCACTCAATAACTATTTGGAGACATAATGAATTAATGGAGCGAGCCATGTCCCTGATACTAGACTAGGAAGAGAGATTCAGGCTGTCCTTTCTGTCAGTGCTCTGGGAACTCAGAAAAGACACAATTAACTTGGGCCAGGATGGAAAAAGTGGATGTTTGGGAGCTCTGAGAATGAGGGGGGACATTATATAACTCTGGATGGGCAAGAGATCCAAAAACGTCTTTTATACATGTTGTTTGTGTGACTGTCTTTTTCTTCAATCAGCAAAAGAATACAGAGGCAAAGAGCACAGGGAGTGGAGTTGGACAGATGTGAGATTTGCTCCCCCTTTAGCCAATTATTGGCTATGTGGCCTTGGGCAAGGGCTTTCACCTTTTTGTGCCTCAGTTTCATCATCTATAAAATGGGAACAATGAAAGTTTCATACATGGGCTTAAGAGTTGTAGCTAGGATTAAATGAGTCAATGTCTATTAAGATCTTGGAACAGTGCCTGGCATATAGCACATATAAGCAGTATTCTATGATGCCACAGATCTGGAAAACTCATCTTTCCCTGTCCATCACCACCTTAGGCAAATGAGAGGGTCTGTACAGCAGATTAAGCATAAGGTATGTGCCCAAGGCTTCTCACTAAGGAGAAAAAGAACTGAGGGTCTAAGACATGTAACCCCACAAATCAGGAACAAGAAGTCAACACGGGATGTAAGTATTCAGTGCACCTGACTTAGACCACCCCAAACTCACCCCTACTCTACAAAGGAAATGAAGTTGCTTTGCTTTGAGGTCTGATATAGGTGTTATGAAATATAAAGTTCCCCATCTAGTAGATGTTTCTTTCAAAGGCCAAAAACCAAGGGCTCCCACCAGTGGGCACTCTTGCCAAAGAAATCCACTAGGAGGAGCTGGGCACCAGGTGAAAGCACCCACAAGTGCCAACCTAGCCACACTGTCTCAGACAGTAGAGGCCATTTGCCAAGGGAAGAGAGAACTTAGTTGGATCTGAGAGTGACTTGTCCTTGTTTTGCTCATAGTCAAAGGGTATTTTCCCTCAGCTGGCATCTGGGAAGGAGGGCAAGAACATCAAGTGTCTTTCTTGCAAAGTTATGGATGTGTGGAGTCAGAATTATTTCTGAATCCTGTTTCTCTTCTGCCATCGACCAGAATCCGCATCTAGACTAGAACATGCTGCGTAGGAGGTTCTCAATAAACAATGAATGAAAAAATGATAAAAACCCCACCATCCTTATTCCTTCTGATTTTCCTCCATCGTCTCTCACCTACTGGGCTCCTGCAGGAGTCTCCAGCTGCACCACCATGCCTGTGGTCCCAGCTCTCTGAATCACGGCCAGCTGAGCTCATTCGTGCCTCAGAGGCCCTGCGTACTGGAGGTCCATAACCTCCCCGGCCAGGAGCAGAGCCCAGGTCAGGACCTGGAAGAAGAAGCATGAATTGAATGAATAAAAAAGGAAGGAAGGCTTTTTCGCAACAGGTTTGCCACCAGAATACAGGTGTTGGTGAAAACCATCACAAAATCTAAACCAAAATGGGAAAGGAAAAGACCCATATCTACATTGTCGTTATTGGGCACGTCAACTCTGGCAAGTCAACCACTATTGGTCACCTGATCTACAAATGTGGAGGAATCGACAAAAGAACCATCGAAAAATTTGAGAAGGAAGCTGCTGAGATGGGGAAGGGCTCCTTCAAGTATGACTGGGTCTTGGATAAACTGAAAGCTAAATGTGAGCGAGGCATCACCATTGATGACATTTGAGACAAGCAAGTACTATGTGACCATCATTGATGCCCCAGGACACAGAGACTTTATCAAAAACGTGATTACAGGAACCTCACAGGCTGACTGTGCTGTCCTGATTGTTGCTGCTGGTGTTGGAGAATTTGAAGCTGGCTCTGGTAGCGTAGTGGTTATGAATTGGGCTGTGGGCCACAAGGTCAGCAGTTCAAAACTACCAGCTGGTCCATGGGAGAAAGAAGAGGCTTTCTGCTCCCATAAAGATTTACAGCCTCGGAAACCCTGTACAGGGTCACTATGAGTCGGAACCGACTCCACGGCACATAACAACAACAACATCTCTAAGAATGGGCAGAGCCGTGAGCATGCCCTTCTGGCTTATACACTGGGTGTGAAACAGCTAATTGTTGGTGTTAATAAAATGGATTCCACTGAGCCACCCTACAGCCAGAAGAGATATGAGGAAGTCATTAAGGAAGTCAGCACCTACATTAAGAAAATTGGCTACAACCCTGACAAAGTAACATTTGTGCCAATTTCTGGTTGGAATGGTGACAATATGCTGGAGCCAAGTGCTAACATGCCTTGGTTCAAGGGAAGGAAAGTCACCCATAAGGATGGCAATGCTACTGGAACCACACTGCTTGAAGCTCTGGATTGCATCCTGCCACCAACTTGTCCAACTGACGAGCCCCTGTGTCTGCCTCTCCAGGATGTCTGCAAAATTGGTGGTATTGGCACTGTCCCTGTGGGCAGAGTGGAGACTGGTGTTCTCAATCCAGGCATGGTGGTCACCTTTGCTCCTGTCAATGCTACCACTTAAGTAAAATCTGTTGAAATGCACCATGAGGCTTTGAGTGAAGCTCTGCCTGGGGACAATGTAGGCTTCAATGTAAAGAACGTCTCTGTCAAAGATGTTCGCCGTGGCAATGTGGCTGGTGACAGCAAAAATGATCCACCAATGGAAGCAGCTGGTTTCACTGCACAGGTGATCATCCTGAACCATCCAGGCTAAATCAGTGCTGGGTATGCACCTGTGCTGGATTGTCCACAGCTCACATTGCTTGCAAGTTTACTGAGCTCAAGGAGAAGATTGATCACCCGTGTGGTAAGAAGCTAGCAAGATGGCCCCAAATTCTTGAAGTCTGGTGATACTGCCATTGTTGACATGGGTCCCAGGAAGCCTATGTGTGTTGAAAGCTTCTCAGACTACCCTCCTTTGGGTCGTTTTGCTGTTTGTGACATGAGACAGACTGTTGCTGTGGGTGTCATCAAGGCAGTGGACAAATAGGCTGCTGGAGCTGGCAAAGTCACCAAGTCTGCTCAGAAAACTCAGAAGGCTAAATGAATATTACCTTTAACACCTGCCACTCCAGTCTGAATCAGCGGTGGAAGAACGGTCTCAGAACTGTCTCAATTGGCCATTTAAGTTTAATAGTAAAAGACTGGTTAATGATAACAATGCCTCGTAAAACCTTCAGAAGGAAAGGAATGTTATGTGGACCATTTGTTTCTTTTTTGTGTGTGGCAGTTTTAAGTTATTAGTTTTTAAAATAAGTGCTTTTTAAATGGAAACAACTTGGCCAAAAATTTGTCACAGAATTTTGAGACCCATTAAAACAAAGTTTAATGAGAAAAAAAAAAAAGGAAGGAAGGAATGTTGTCAAATGACTCCTGTCCTGGAATAGAAGACAGAGCCAGCAGAGTCCATCGGTGGGGCCCCTCCTGTCTCCAGTGTCAGCTAGAGAGAGGAAAAAACATGTTAAGGAGGACTGGTTTTTTGAAGGGTCTCTTAAGGAGCTCTGGTACCATAGTGGTTACAAATCGGGCTGCAAACCTTAAGGTCGCAGTTTGAAACTACCAGCTGTTCTGTGGGAGAAAGATGAGGCTTTCTGCTCCTGTAAAGATTTACAGCCTTGGAAACCCTGTACAGGGTTGCTATGAGTCGGTTCTGACTCCACGGCACACAACCACTACAACCTGGCAGCATCGTGGTTTACAAGTTGGGCTGTTAACCACAGGGCTAGCAGTTTGAATCTACCAGATGCTCTGTGGGAGAAAGATGCAATTTCTGTTCCTGTAAAGATGTACAACTTTGGAAACCCTATACAGGGTCACTGTGCATAACCACCAACCAACTGGTTTTCTGGTGTTTGGCAACTCATGAAGCCCACAAAGGAGCCCATCTGCCACTCTCAAGACCTGTGTTGCTTTGTTTTTAAAGTTAAAATTTACCCTCTCAACTGACCCTCTGATGTAGCTCCCATGCACAGTTTCATATGATTTATTTTGCAAATACAGACATATAGGAATATAGACAGACTTGAAAAGGAACAAAATAGGATCCTTGATTTTGTGCTACAATGTGCTTTGGTTGTCCAATTTGATTTTCCCCAGGACTTACCAAATGTGCTCAACCTCAAACTTGCACTTGGTATTCCAAAATATTCTGTTGGACTCTCGGTGTGGTGCTGTAGGATAAGCACTGGACTGCTAATCACAAAGTTGGAAGTTCAAACCCACCAGCTGCTCCTTGAAAACCCTATATAGGGTTGCTATGAGTTGGAACCGACTTGACAGTACTTCACAACAACATCATCACTTCAGTAAGGTGTTTCTCCAGATGTCATCTCCCCAGATGGGCCTGTTCTGGTCATTGTATCCAAAATAAAGCTGCCTGTCACTATCAACTCCTTTCCCTGCTCCTGATTTTTCTTCTCAGTATGTCGCATACCTAACAATCTATTATGCTTGTATTTGTTGATTACTGAACATTCGTTTCAGCACTAGAACTTTAACTGCATGGAGAGACTGTTCTTCTCATCACTGTATTTCTAAGACATAGAATAGGGCCTGGAACTTATTAGGTGGCTCAGAAAATGTTAAAAGAATATCGACGGAGCATATCACTAATGTAATTTTGAGTCTATAATATAAGCATTCCTTTACATCATTTCCATTTTAAAAGATGCTTACTATATCTTGGTGTCAGTATATCACATTCTGATCAATGACTTCTCTAGTAATGGGCGTTTAGGTTATTTTGGTGTTTTTGCTACCATAAATGATGCAATAAATGCACTTCTACACATTTTTTGCACTGGCACTTTTATTGATGTCAGCATATTCCCAGAGAGGGATTCCTGGATCAAATGGTATATATTTTTTACATTTTAATGAATTCTGCCTTGTTACTTTCCAAAAAGGTTGAGATGATTATAGTCCTACCAAAAGTTTATAGAATGACTCCCCACACACTCACTGAATGTTATTACCAATGAATAACACTGAATGTTATTACCAATGATTCTTTTTAGGTACACTATGCAGTGCTGAGGTGTATACTATGCAGCATGGTGGTTCCATACAATAAGCACCGGATTGCAGACTACAACTTATGGTCCACAGTTTGAGTCCACCAGCCACACCATGGGAGAAAGATGAGGCTTTCTGCTCCTTTGAATATTTAAAGCCTTGGAAACATTATGAGTCGGAACTGACTCAATGACACTTAGCAACAACAAATGCAGTACTGAGTGGGATAGATATTAAATAAACCATAATTTCACAGTTATTTGCTTTGTCTAGACTTTATCTGATAAGCTAATTCATACCATTTTTGTTTGTGCATGTTTGTGTATAAGTGATTAACATTACATATAGCTATGTTTATAAGAGCTCCATTCTACAAGGCATTTTACATTCAATATCTCATTCAGTTCTCCAAATAACCCAATGAGTTCTCACACCCATACTATAGATAAGTAAATGGAGTCTCAGAGAGCTAGTAACTCACACAGCTAGTGTGTGACAGAACTAGCGCACAAACTCAGGTCCTCATGTCTTCAGAAGGTCCATGCTCTTGAAGGTTGTTATACAACCTTCTCAAGTAGACACAGTAATGCTTACCCAGGGGGAAGGATGCTCTAGGGGTAGCAGTCCTTAGAGATGTGATGTTTAGCAACTATTTGGCTGTTTGGAGCAACATAGAAAGTGTTTATGCCTTGTCAAGAATAAAGCATCTGTCAAATGCCTCTTGAGTATCAGGCACCATGTTGGCTACCATGAGAACTTTATGGAAGACACAGTTGGACACTTGAGTTTTTGAAACCTTTACATATCTGAAGCACTGCCTGCACTAAACTCCAGAGTTATCATGCAGACCTGATTTTATTGCTTAGTGTTAATTGAAACGATTAATTTCTGATCAGTCCTTGTGGTCTCATTCAATTAAAATGTGTTTTAACTGTAGTTGCCCTATTATTATTATTGTTTGCCTCTCTCATTTAATCATCATTTTAATAATTAATAACAATGCTTGCAGAAGAATGATAATATAATAGTAGTGGTAATGTCCTTATACTAATTCCCTTTTTATTCATCTTTCACTTTTAATTAGGCCAATTTCAAGTTTGCTGATGGATGATAGAAGAAATATTAGGGGCCAAATATTAGAAGGTCTTCTGGGTAAGCCACAAATGCCCCCAGGCTCTGGTGTGTGTTTGGGGGGGGGAGGGAGTGGTAGTGTCTCAGACTAATTTAATTCCCCTCTCCATTGTTCAAAATCTTTTGACAGCCTATCATTTCTGGGGAAGTCCCTGTATTTTTCTTCTGGTAAGGGTTCATGATGAGCTACAAAGGGGACATAGAAGTCCTAGACCAAACTAAGAAATTGGTTGGGCATCAACTGGGTAGAAACATAGACAGGATGTTAGGACATTCTTCAGGAAGTGTCCTGGGTCTGAAAGAGAAGTGGTTTTGTCTTACCTCGAGCTGGAGTCTTGGCAGCATTCTTGGGTTCAGTGGTGGGCTGCTCTGGGGCCGCAGGCTCACTGATAGGTTGCTGGGGTTTGGTGTTCTTTATAGGCATAGGTTGAGGAAGGACCTGCTTGGGAAAACCCTTGAAGAACCATGCTCCAGAACGCTTCCATACCTGGGGAAGACGTAGGAGATGAAAATGTGTCAGTTAAGCACTATGGCCCCTACCTTTGTGAGTGTGAATTTTTAGCTTTGCTCCTGCCCTCAGCAGACTGACACAGTCGCCATCACAAATTCTTTCACAATTCATATGTAATTCTGCACAACAACCCTGAAAACTCAGTAGAAAACAATTCTGGAAATGGATAAGGGTGGTGGTTGCTCAATATGATGAATACAAATTGTTGTTACTGTTGTTGTTGTTAAGTGCTGTCAAGTCGGTTCTGATTCATAGCTGCCCTATAAGGGGTTTCTGAGGAGCAGCTGGTGAGCTTGAACTGCCAACCTTTCAGTTCAAACCAACCTTGCAGTCCAGTGTATTAACCCGCAGTGCCACATCAGGACTCTGATGAACACAATTAATGTTAATGAATTTCACATGTAAAAAATGCTGAGATGGGAAATTATATATATATTGGTGGTGGTGGTGTGCGTGGAGTAGATTCCAACTCATAGTGACCCTGCATATGAGTTCAACTTTTTTATTGTGAATGGACTAAAGGTTTACAGAGCAGCTCATCAGTCCCACATTCAACAAATCATACACTTGGTTTCATTACAATGATTGCAATTCCCTCCATGTACCATCAGTTAGCAGTATTTACCTCTATCCACTTTAATCTTGTACTCTCCCCTGTGTCTCCTGCTACCTTCATCTTTCACTCTTGTTGCAACATATATATTTACCACAAGAAAAATAGAATAATTTTTTTTTTTTTTTATTTAAAAACTCAATAGAAATGTCTGAATATGCTCACTCTCTTGATGGAGAAAGTTGGAAGCCAGAAGGGTTAAGGTCTGGTCCAGGGTTAAACAACCGGTGAGTGGGAGAGCAAGAACTAGGCCCCGAGACCTCCACCTCCCACAACTTATGTGCTTCCTACCACACTAGCTTCTCTAAAGAGCGTCAACTACCCCTGGCTTTGCCAAGACCTCTCTGGTAGCGTAGTGGTTACGAATCGGGCTGCGAACCTTAAGGTCAGCAGTTTGAAACTCCCAGCCGCTCTGCGGGAGAAAGATGAGGCTTTCTACTCCCGTAAAGATTTACACCCTCGGAAACCCTGTACAGGGTCGCTATGGGTCAGAACCGACTCGATGGCACTTAACAACAACAACAACTGGCTTGCATGCCTGCCTTGTGGGTTAGTGTTCCACCTAGGATAGTATGCCAGACGTCCTCTATTTCCCCTTCAAACCAGGGCTCCGTCCTCATCTACCCTGCTCTGGGCCTCAGGTGGCTGAGCAGTACAGACTATAGTTACTGGGCTCCCTTGACCTCTATCTCCACAGTGGATGTGGTCAAGGGAAGCATCAGCAAGAGTCTGGAAGGCAGGAGAAAAGTGAGGTCAGGGTGACTGTCCCCAAGAGTTCCCTCTGGTCAGGCAAAGTGATGACATTCCTTTCCTAAACATAGTGCCTGTTACACAACACCTGTTTTCCAATCTAGTGACTGCTCCCTCCTCCACTCCTTCACTGCTAGGGGTGTACTAGCTCCTCTGCTCCAGGGTACTTCATCGTTCCTTGCTGATTCCCCTCAACCCTTTGCAAATAGTACATTTATTAAACCCTTGACTGTCCTGTGGGAGTGTGTCATCTGTTTCCTGTCAGGACTCTGTCTGATAGTGACTGTCAGTGGAAGCAGTCTCAGAGGTAGGAAGCTCCTACAGGGATGATAGGAGAATTTGGGGGAAGGAGAAAGGACTTCAATAACAACAAACAAAACTCAAGGCCATTGAGTCAGTAGATTTTGACTCATAGTGACTCTATAGGACAAAGTAGACTACCCTCCTGCCATAGGGTTTTCTAGAATAATCTTTATGGAAGCAGACTGCCACATCTGTCTTCCACGAAGTGGCTGGTAGAGTCGAACTGCTGACCTTTTGGTTAGCAGCTGAGTGCTTTGACCACTGCACCACCAGGGTTTTGACCACTGCCCCACCTTAGAAAGGACTTAATTGGGATAAAATGAATAATAAAAAATCACACAAATGGGGAAGAGGAGGATCCCATGGGATACAGAAACAGACAACAAAAAGAAAAAGATAATGCAGAGAAAGAAGTGGAATGAGTAAAAGACAATGAGAAATAAGAATGAGAAGGAGGTAAGGATGAGAGGGAGAAAAGAGCTCCAAGGAGAGAGTATGAAGAAAGCTAGAAAAAAAGAAAATGAAAAGGAGATCAGAAGTGGAATTGAGGGAAAGACAAAGAAAAGATGGTGGAAGAGAAAGATCCATTAAGTAGACATGGGGAAGAGAGAAGAATGGGAGTCCAGAAGAAAAGGGTAGAAGGGAGGAAGACATGGACAAGACCGCTTTCAAAATAGGAGAGGAGAAAAGGAATTCATTTAAGCACACAGCACTTCCACCAGTGTACCTAGTGACTTGGACCATACCAGCCTCTTAAGACACAAGACCTGACCATGTCCCCCAGCCCCCAACTGCCACCTTGCTTCCTGGATTCAGACTGGGAATAGAATGGAAAATTGGGCAAAGACTGGAGAGTGGAGGCAGGTTACTCACCTCTCTCTGCTCGATGCAGATTTTGCAGAGCCATACAGGATGCAGACGGTTGTTGGAGGTCTCCACGCCACACTTGGTACAGACGTTCTGTGGATAAAACAGCCCAGTGGACACTCAGAGCTGCCAGGGGTTGGGGATGGAGACTCAGTAGGATGGCAGTGGAGCCCCATCCCTTCTTGGTGGGTGGAAAGGGCTTGAACATCCACCTTTTTCTCACACTTTCTTCTACCAGTTAGAACAAAGTTCCAGTTTGACTCCCTCCTCTCCTGATAGTCAATAACCCAACCAAATAATCAAATCATAAAGTTCCCATTTGAGTCTTAATTTCCAATAACAAGAACTTGAATCATTCCCAAGTCCCCTTGGGGGTCTGAGTGGTCTGCATCTATACACAGGAAACAGCTGGCATAGTATTTTAAGGAGATTTTATTGGCTTATTCCTTCTTTCTTGTCAAAATGGATCTGGGGTAACACAGATTGTAACTAGAAGTTCAAATTGCCGAGGAATAAATGCCATGACTGTGTGATGAAACATTATATTTTTGGCGGAGTTTCCTGGCAGTCAAGACAAATAGGAAAATTTAATAGGATACAAACGTCTTACACTCTGGTTAACTGCAATGGATGCATTTTCCAGAATAGATAAAATCCCCCCATTAATCAGTTCTAAAAGCTAAATGGGGCACTCAACAAAAAATGCAAAGTAACAGTGTAGCTGCTGCCTTGAACTCCTTTCATGGAAATTCAGCAGACCCAAGGACAGCTGTATCCCTTCCCTGGATTTGACAAGAGAAGACAGCTTAAAAGGGGGAGGGGGAGAGAATAAGAAGATGCCCCTTCCAGAACAAATGATCTTGAAGCTCAATAATCCTAATTTGACTAGAGAGGGGCTTTCTAAGTCTCTTGGCCCATAATTGAAGGCAAAAGAACATTGGGTAAACCTTCCACATACATGTATGTACATACATGTGCTCAGTATGTTCTTCAGGCTGACATATAACTCGCTAAGCAAGAACCAGGATACTTGTAGCTCATGTCTTACCTCAGATTCCCAAGTTCATTCTGATAGAGCTCAACTCCAAGGGGACAGAAGGGCAAAGTGGCTTCCAAGGAAGGGAGCAGCATTTGGGTTACCTTTGGGGACAGCTGGGCATGGGTGAATTTAGAAGGGATCATATTCTGGCAACTATCTCCAGGATCCTAACTCCTCCCCCATGATGTAGGTCAAATCTCCCCAAAACTCAAGCTCAGCCCCTGGCTCCCCTGAATGTGTTGAGTAGAGGGAAGAAAGGGGAGGGCAATGGTACCTTCTTACAGTCTTCACATACAACACAGGTGGAACCTAGCATTCCCAGCTGTTCCCCACAGAGTATGCAGCGGTTAACCCCATCCCCAGCCACGTTCTTCCTCATGTTCTCCAGGCGGTCCACCAGGCGCCTGGAAGCAGAGAAAAGGTGATAAGGACCTCATAGAACGGGGACAGTATCAGAGGACCTTAACTGCCTTTGCGTCAGAGACACTTGAGTATCTGATGGTGACTGTGGACTCTTCCCCACATTTTCAGTGTATCCCAGATTCCTTCCCATACTCCCTAAAGCCCATCAATGCTATTCCAGAAACTTGCTAGAAATACACATTCTAGGATCCCACTACAGGCCAACTTAATTATAAACTCCAGGGCATGGGACCCAGACATCTGTATTTTGAGCAAACCTGCCAAATGATTCTGACATGAAACATTGCTCTCTTATGCCTCAGTACCTTTGCACATTCTGTTCTTAGGCCTGGAATATAACTCCCCCTGTTCCCTGCCCACCCCCCATATTTGAGATCTCTCTCTCTCTCCCACACACACAATCTCACTTACAACCCTTTTTACAGTTCCTGGTTACATTCCCTCATCCTTCAAAGCCTAACTAAAATATCACTTCCTCTATGAAATCTTCCCTGACCACCCATTTTATTTCCTCTCCTAGCAGTTCTACCCTGTACCCACAGAGCCTTGGCTGCATTTGTGGGTAATTGTGAGGCTCTCTTCATTACATAGTGAGTTGACTAATGAGACCACCTTTGGCTCCCCTTCTACCCTAGTGCCACTGGGCCTCAGTGAATGCGCATGCAAATCATGCATGATTTTGTGAAAATGCAGATTCTGAAGCAGTAGTTCTGGGGGGTGGGGCTGGGGCCTCCCCTGGGTCTCTGGTGGCCCTGACTGGCTGCCACCTGAGGCTGGCTGTCCCCACAGGTCCTCCTGCTCCTTCTATTCCATCAAAGGCTCTCTGATTTGCAGTGTTATAAATAGCAGCTTTTCCCTCTGTGTTCCATTCAGCAGAGAAGTGGCTTTGGCAAAAGAAGAGCTGAAAGCAGCCTGTGGATCCGGAGCTTCTGGTGTGACCCAGATCAGACAGAACTGCTTAAGGAGCCTGGATGTGCAGAGCTGAAGGCAGCCTGCCGCCTCTTCCCCTCTCCCTCTGCAGCCTCCCTCTCCTTCCTTTGTTTTCCTTGAAATTATCTCTGTAGGATGATGGGAGGAGGCAGGAGCCAGAAGAGAGTCCTAGTCCATGTTTTCAGCACACCTAGAACCACAATTGTTATTCTTTGCCATTGGGTCTATTCTGACTCATAGTGACTCTATGTTGTTGTTGCTGTGAAGTGCTGTCGAGTCGGTTTTGACCCATAGGACTGAGTACAATTGCCTTATAGGGTTTTCTAGACTCTGATTTTTATGGAGGAGTCTTGGTGAGCAGCTGCAGGATAATGCATTGGGCAGCCCCCTCAGTGGGATGCTGAGTCCTTCTACTATTCACTCGTCAAGGCTGAAAGACCCCACTTAATACATATCACCCACAGAACGTCTTCTCATTGTCTCATTAGAATCTCTCTCCAACAGCCAATGGTGTGGAAACACAACAGATTTCAGACTAGTATTCAGATGTCTAAGCTCAGGGGCCCTAGTTATTTATGACTTCAGTCCAGATTGCTAAAGAGAGATGGGTGGGGTGGGCATGGGCAGATGTTCCTTCTCTGCTCTGAGATGGGGAAAGAGTAGGGGGTCCCAGGGATCTGCCCATTTACACATCCTCTCTGTAGACCCAAATTCTGCAATCACAGCATGGAAGTATCTGAATTGTCAGAGGTTTTTAACTTGGAAATAAAACTTTGCCAGAAGCAAAGTAAAAAACTTGTCATGAAAGACCATGAGCTACAAAAGAATCTTTCTCCTGATGACAAAACACATTTCAGTTTCTTCATTTCATTAAGCGCCCTGAGAAATATTTGCTTCTACTTGTTATGGCAGGAAAGTCTAATGTTGAGAGTATTAATTAAAACAAGACCAACACCTAGAGCCCCGATTCTAAAACTTGTCAACTTACAGTTCTAGTTAACATGGATCTCAATATCAGTACTGAAATGTGTGAACCACTGCACGTGATGTTCTCTATCACCTGGGAGAGGTGCTCAACATTCAGAAAACTATCCTGCAGGACTGGGGAGGGACCTGGGAACCTGTGTTTTAAAGCAACTTCCCTCTTAACTTTGATGGTGCTGACCCCTGGCCACATTTTGAGAAACACTGCAGTCAGGGAGAAAGGGTTGACAAGAAAGTATCATGTGGGATAAGAATCCAACACAGTATTACTGGAAACTGGGTTTGCGTGTCACCTGGTAAAATGCTTTCCTTATTATGTTAAATTCATTGTCATGTTGGTTCTGACTCAGAGCAACCCAACAGGAAGGAGTAGAACTTCCCCAGAGGGTTTCCAAGGCTGTCATCTTTATGGAAAGCTACTGCCACCTCCTTCTCCTTTGCTGCTGTTGTTATGTGCCGTGGAGTCGGTTCCGACCCATAGCGACCCTCTACAGGGTTTCCGAGGATGTAAATCTTTACGGGAGCAGAACGCCTCATTTTTCTCCTGCGGAACAGCTGGTAGTTTTGAACTGCTGACCTTGCGGTTCTCGGCCCAATTTGTCACCACTATGCTACCAGAGCTCCTTAGAAGGGGAGAAATTTATCAATTAGCAACCAAGTGCTTAACCACTGTGCCACCAAGGTTCCTTTTACTATGTTAAGTGGGGGTAAAAAAAAAATCCTAGAACACACTTCATCTTCAGGGTATGAGTTTGGATCTGGAGCATGCTCCTTTAAATACCTTCATTGGGTGTTCTGGACAAAAACATCAAGAAGGAAATGCCAAAATGTTTCGAGATTATCACCAGATCATGGTATTATGGGTAATTTTTATTTCCTTCTTCTACTGTCTCTGAGGCTCCTGGTGTAGTACTGTAGGATGAACACTGGTGGTTCAAATCTACCAGCTGCTTCTCAGAAACAGGGTCTCTATGAGTTGTAATTGACACAATGGCACTTAACAACCACACTGTGTCTGGACCCCTCCACATGAAGCACTCAATTAGTTGGACTCGTCCATATTTTAACTTTCTACAAATAACATGCATTACCTTTATATTTGGCGTCCTGGTTTGCTGCTGTAGGATAAGTACTAGACTGTAATGTTGGTTTGAATTGGAAGGTAGGTGGTTCAAAGTCACCAGCTGCTACTCAGAAACCTTATACAGGGTCATTAAGAATCAGAATCGACTCGATGGTACTTAACAACAAAAACACCTTTATATTAAGGAGCCCTGGTGGTACAATGGTTAAGTGCTTAGCTGCTAACTAAAAGGCTGGTGGTTGGGACCCACCAAAGGCTCCCTAGGAAAAAAGACCAGGTAATCTACTCTCATAAAAATGACAGCTTCGGAAACCCTGTGGCAGAGTTTTACTCTATCCTAAAGGGTAACTGTGAGTCGGAATGGACTCGACAACTCACAACAGTAGCCCTTATAGTAGAGAAGCAGGCACATTTTCGAAGCTAGAGAACACATTAGGCCAAAAGTGAAGGCTCGAGTTGGAATCCTACTTCGTACTAGGTTCATAGCTTTGAGAAACCACTGCTCTCTGGGTGCCCCTTTCCCAGACTTTAAAATGAGGAGTAAGGTTCATCTTTTAGGGAATATTCAGGGGACTTTCCAGTCCTGAGGTTGAATCCTTGAGATTTCCTTTCTCTTTGGACCCAATGGGAGCATCAATGGAGAAGAGACACTTGTGTACCAGCAGCCCTGGTGTTGTTTGCCTGGCTAATGTCTCTGGTCCCCCCACATTAATGGCCCAATTAGCTGGACCCTTTACGTGGTTGTCACTCTAGTTATGTCTTTACAGGCCTGATTAACTTTACCACTACTACTCACACTTCCATCACCAGGCTGGGAGCTTCGGGTTACTAAGAGGAGTTGGAAGGGTACCTCCCACTTCCCAGAATGCTCACTGAAGTCCCAGAAGGGCTATCTCCCCTCCAGTGGACGCCAAGGAATAAACTCTGAAGCTGATGACAAGCAGATTCCCTATTTGGTTGAACCAAACAGATGCAGATAGACTGTTTATTCTTGTGACAAAGATTTGTGGAATACCTACTATGTGCCAAGTAGACAATGAGAATCCAATGGTAAATAAAGCACACAAGGTCCTGACATGCTAATGAGGGATTCAGTTATTATTTAAATAATCACCCAGGAATCATAAATATACTCACAATAAATACTCTGAAGAACTAATATGTGCAGGTATGAGAACTCCTGTCAGAGGGACATGGCTAGTTAGGAATGGTTATCAGAGAAGTGGCCATGGAGCTAAGACCTGAGGGTCAGCAGGAGTTGACCCAGTAGAGAGGAGAGGGAAGTGCACTGCACAGAGAGGGAACAGCATGTGTGAAGGACTTAAGATGCGGTCAGTGTGGCTGGTGTGCTGAGCAGAAGGAGGTGAGGCTGGAGAGCTGAGATCAGGCCTTTAATCTGAGATTAATGGGGTGGCATTTAAGGACTTTCAGCAGAGTCCACCCACATGAACATGTGAATGAAGCCCTGGGAGTCTCAGAGCAGTGGGTGTTTCAGATGCTGCAGCAGCTTCAGGTAGGAGGCGGGCAGGACTCCAGACTTCATCTACACTGTGGGCTGCATCATGTTCTTTGGGCCCTCAAGACTAGGTCTGACTCAGTGATGGGAAAAAGGTGCACTGGAAGGAACCGCCATGAAATGCTACCACATACTGGCAGTGTCTAAGGTGTTGCACTTGTATGAGTTCCCACTGTTAGACAAGTTATCACAGACTCAGCCAGTGGCTTAAAGCACTGCAGACGTATTTCCAGAGGTCAGAAGTCAGACACAGGTTTCATTAGGTTAAAATGAAAGTTGTGGCAAGAAGTCATTCCTTTGCCTCATCCAGCTTCTAAAAGCTGCCTGTATCCCTTGGTTCAGGGTTCCTTCCTCCATCCAACCTCACTTCACTCTGACCTCCTGCCTCTCTTACAAAGACCCTAAGATGGCACTGGATCAATCAAATAACACAAGGTAATCACTTCTCAAGTTCTTTAACTGAATCA